AGATTTAGTTGCAGATATATGCTCCCTCTTCCTAACTACTTCAATTTTCCCTAATAAGAAATACATTCCTGCCGGGCGGTGGTGGCGCACGCCTTTAATCCCAGCACTCGGGAGGCAGAGCCAGGCGGATCTATGTGAGTTCAAGGCCAGCCTGGACTACCAAGTGAGTTCCAGGAAAGGCGCAAAGCTACACAGAGAAACCCTGTCTCGAAAAAAAAAAAAAAAAAAAAAAAAAAAAAAGAAATACATTCCATTTTTTTAATGCAATGAAAATATAAAATTTGTGAAATTTGACACTGATGCTATTTATCTCATATATTAACGCAATCCATCTTCAAACTTCCCCAGTGATCACAACGCTGTCCTCTACAGCACTGCTCTTCCTGATCCAGGGTTTAATCTCAAATCCTCCATTGCCCTGCCTGTCTCTTTAGTATGGATAAAAGCTTCAGCTGCCTCCCATGACATTAACATTTTCAAAACATGCTGCACTTAGGGTTTACCTGGTGTCTTCCCCTGATTAGAATTGGGTTGCGAGTGATGTCACCTCACTTCCTCAGTGCTTCCAATCAGGGTATCAGCTTCTAGCAATTCTTTATTTAAGATGATGTAGCCCAGGCTTCTCCACTACAAAACTACCATTGTACCATTGACCCTTTTTTTTTTTTTTTTTTTTTTTTTTTTTTTTTTTTTTTTTACAATTAATGAGAAATCTGTGGGGAAATTCTTTAAGAATTTCAGATTCTGTTTGTCTTACTTAAGGTTTCTATTGCTGTGATGAAACAACATGACCAAAAGCAAGTTTGGAGAGAAAAGGATTTATTTGGCTTACACTTCCATATCACTGTTCATCATCAAAAGAAGTCAGGACAGGAACTCAAACAGAGTAGGAACCTGGAGGCAGGAGCTGATGCAGAGGCCATGGAGGGGTGCTGTTTCCTGGTTTGGTCATAGCTTGCCCAATCTGCTCTCTTATAGAACCCAGGACCAACTCAGGAGTATCCTACACACAATGGGCCAGGCCCTCCCACATCAGTCACTAACTAGGAATATGCCCTACAGCCTGATCTTACCAAGGCACTGTCTCAGTTGGGGTTTCGTCCTCTCAGACGACTCTAGCTAGTGTCAAGTTGATATAAAACTAGCAGCACACTGCTCCTCTTCAGCTTCTTACACACTAATTCAGGAACCATAGGTGGGTGAATCTTGCTTGAACTGATTATTGGTGGTGTTTGTTAGGACATGGGAGTAAAAGAAGCTGCAGGTTGCTGGGAGGAAGTGGAAGGGAAGGTGGAGCTACTGGGAGGAAGTGGAAGGGAAGGTGGAGCTACTGGGAGGAAGTGGAAGGGAAGGTGGAGCTACTGGGAGGAAGTGGAAGGGAAGGTGGAGCTACTGGGAGGAAGTGGAAGGGAAGGTGGAGCTACTGGGAGGAAGTGGAAGATAAAGAGTGACTACTGGGAGGAAGTGGAAGGGACGGTGGAGCTACTGGGAGGAAGTGGAAGGGAAGGAGTGGTTACTGGGAGGAAGTAGAAGGGAAGGAGTGGTTACTGAGAGGAAGTGGAAGGGAAGGAGTGGTTACTGAGAGGAAGTGGAAGGGAAGGAGTGACTACTAGGAGGAAGTGGAAGGGAAGGAGTGGCTACTGGGAGGAAGTGGAAGATAAAGAGTGACTACTGGGAGGAAGTGGAAGGGACGGTGGAGCTACTGGGAGGAAGTGGAAGGGAAGGAGTGGTTACTGGGAGGAAGTAGAAGGGAAGGAGTGGTTACTGAGAGGAAGTGGAAGGGAAGGAGTGACTACTAGGAGGAAGTGGAAGGGAAGGAGTGGTTACTGGGAGGAAGTGGAAGGGAAGGAGTGGCTACTGGGAGGAAGTGGAAGGGAAGGAGTGGCTACTGGGAGGAAGTGGAAGGGAAGGAGTGGTTACTGGGAGGAAGTGGAAAGGAAGGAGTGGCTACTGGGAGGAAGTAGAAGGGAAGGAGTGGCTACTGGGAGGAAGTGGAAGGGAAGGAGTGGCTACTGGTGGAGCTTGCCTATGGGTTAGCCGCAATCAGCTTCTGAACGGACCAGGCAAAAATGACTCGAAATCATCCATGCAGTAGACCAAGAACGACCAAAAGAGACCAGAAGGATTCCTTAAGATACAAAATACTTATCAGCAACATCTCTAGAGACCCAGCAACTCAAAAATTGCCCAAGATTAATGGGGCATAATTCAGTTAGCTATTTCCGACAATTCAAAACATGCCCACTGTCCCTGAGAATTGATGCTTTTTCTTTTTAGACTATTTTATTTGTCCTTTGAAAAATTCATATTTTATACAATGCTTCTTGTGTGATTTTTTCCTTTTTTAGAATATTTATTTTTAAAAATTATGTGTGTGCATGTATGTGTCTGTGAGGAAGTTTTTGCGGATGACTGAAGGTACCCTCAGAGACCAGAAGAGGGCATGGGACACCCTGAAACTGGAGTTACAGATGACTGTCAGTGGCCCAACATGTATACTGGAAACTGAACTTGGGTCCTTGGGAAGAGAAGTATGCACTCTTAACTGAAGAGCCATCTCTGTAGCCCCTTGAGAAAATTTATTCTTAAAAGCACAGACATGAACACGCACCCATACAAATGCACTTCCAAAAAAATTCAGGCCACAGTGATTCAAACGTGAAGACCCATAATAAAAAGTATTAATAATTCAACAAATGCCATAAAGGAAAAAAAAAACAAGATAAACACCTCACTCTCAAACACAAAATTCTCTGGAACACCCATTACCTCAAACACAGCTCTGAATACCACCGCTTACAAAACAGACTTAGCGGCTTAACCATTTCATAACAACTTACTGGGAACCAGCTGAGGCTCCAACTTCTCTGCACCTCTGGAAACTGCCCTTCAAACTCTGAGCTAGCTGGACACAAGGGCATTCTCTCTGGGTCACATTCTTTTTGTTTTTGAGACTGTTTTCCAGGCAACTGTTTTTTAAACATCTCTGTGTTGTACATATGCTCACATGCTATATTCACAGAGAAGGTCCTTCTGGATTCCTTCTAAGAATGACTAGAGTACAACAGTCTGGACTTTCCCTGGCTTTACAGCTGTTTTTTCCCCCAAAGAGAAATGTAGGGAGACGAGGAAAGTGGAATAAAAGCAATCAGCTAACACTAAGGCAGATTGTGCCCAGGCTTCATGCATCCTAGTGAGGCCATCTACTCACTACACGACGCTCCCACCTGCCTCTCACCTGCCATCCCCTTACCTGAAGACAGAACTTCCCTAACACTAGAATTTGTTAATTACCATTTACACGAGTAAGGCCATTTTCTTACTTTACTAATAAAAATCTAAACCTATCATTTCTTCCCCAAGACTCTCTCTCCCCAGATGGCTACACTTTTTGGGTATATAAGCAGAACTGAGAACAAAAAAAGGTTGATTTCTATTAGTTCATTTTATGCTGAACACCTGATCTGCCTTAGTAAAAGCATCGAGCGCACAGTGGTTTCTCCACACTGATTGGCAAATGGGATACACGAGAATTACTACACACTTGTCTGCTTCACTCTGTGTGCCCCTCACTTTAGGAGCTATCCATTGCTTAACAAGGTGTGTCAGTCCTGTCATATATGTGTGTGTGTGTGTGTGTGTGTGTGTGTGTGTGTGTGTGTGTACACACACACACACGTACACATACATATACATATACTTTTTTTTTGAGACATGGATTGTAACTTGACATCCTCCTGCCTCCGAGACTCAAGTGTTGGGATTACTGATGTGTGCCCTCACATTCAACAGCCCAATCACAGTTTTAAGGTTGAGGGCAGGGCCATAGTCCCGCTGATGATGAGTTTGGGAGACATAAAAGGCATACCTTTTAACAAAAAAGAAAGAAAGAAAGAAAGAAAGAAAGAAAGAAAGAAAGAAAGAAAGAAAGAAAGAAAGAAAGAAAGAAAGAAAGGAAAAAGAACCTCACACCCTCTGTGCTCTATCCAAGCTGTGTTCTTGGCTGGGTAAGTATTCATTTAAAAGAAAAATAATAAAATTTTGACCCTCACCATCCACCTTTGTCTCCTCTCATCTCCCAAAATTGCCTTATAAATGGCATCTGTAACCACACCATACATTCAGTGAATGAAGTCCCTACTGCGTGCCCTGTCTATTGCTGAGGACTTTAGATGCCAAATCTAAGACAAGTATGACTTGATGTTCTTCTACCCTGTGCTTCTCTTTGAGGTTCCACTGACAGGTCAAGCTCCAGCTACATGTAATTAGTTTTCTTAGCAGCAATCCTAATTTCCAAAACAACAGCAAAGACGCCAAAGATGCCAACAGCAGGCCGAGCCGGAGCTTCCCAACAATTCCAGTCTTGGATCTCAACCTTCTCCCTGCTGCACGCCCCCCTCGTTCATGGCAGCCAGACAAGGTCTCTGGCTTCAGGTCCCGGGAACAGAGCCCTCTGGGGCCACCCGGCAGGAGGAGGGCGTGCCAACCTGACTCAGAACTCCAGGAGAACCTTGAACTCACAGCGCCCCAATATTGGGCTCCCTAAAAGCTAGCTCTGGGCCTGGAGGCAGTCCACGAATGAACGGCTGCGAGGCCCAGCCCCGCTGCACCCCCTGCATCAAGTGTCCCCTCCAGCTAGGTGCCACATCCCTCCTGAGGGGCCCTCAGACCTCCTGTCCTCCCGGTCCTTCCAGGTGACGCGGGATGATGGGCATGTTGGCAAGGGCCCCCCGCTCCGAAGATGGGGTACCCGGACGCTGCTCCCGCGAGCCAGCCACAAAGGCAGGCGCGCGCGCGGGAGGAGAACTTGCCACCCCAGGCGCTTCGGCCTCCCCAGGGGGCCCCGCACTTACTGTCAGTCGCCATGGTCGCCGTCAGGGGCTGTGGGGCGGCTGCCCGCGGCTGGGGTACCCACGCCGCGCCCGGCCGCGCGCGTTCTCGGCAGGCCCCGCGCGCTCGGGAGCCCGCGACGCGCACAGATGCTCCCGCCGCGCGCCCCCGCCGCGCCGCCCCGAGCCCCGTGGTCGCCCCCGCCGGCGTCCCTCCACCCCAGCCAAGCCCGATCGGTCCTCAGCGGGGCCTGCCCTGCCCACCCCGCGGCAGCATCCCTCCCAAAGACAAAGCAGCCGGCAACCTGGCCCACTCCTCTCCAGGTACCTCGCCCGCTCCGTTCGCCTTGCTGCACACTTGTTTTCTTGTCTCGATTCCTCCAGTTCACCCAGGCCTGGTGCTTCTTTCCAGCAGGGTCGACCCTGAGCCCCAGCTGAATGGAGTAAAGCAGGGGAACAGGTGGGAGAATGTGCCAAGAATCACCCAGGTGCCTCCAGGGCTTGAGGACCGGAACTCACCAGGTGCTCCTCTCCTTCTCCTGTTTTGTTCCCAAGGTGAACATAGAGCCCTGCATGTAGTAGACTCTCAGATACCTATTAGATGAGTTAATGGATGGCTTTATAACTGGAAACCTGCGTGGATTAATGAGTGAATAAATGGCCAATTAACTAATTGGATGTAAACCGGGTGGACAACTAACTGGTGGCTAATTGCGGGCCAGACCACAGGCTTGTCAGATGACTTGTATTACAGGACCAGCTCAATGAGAAAGTCAAATGGTACTGCCTCAAGGGCCGCCGTGGTTTAAAGGGCTTTCCAAGGAGTCCACCTGTGGGCGTTGTATGCCGTACATCTTGTGGAAGGCTGGAAACCTTACCGAAGGATTCTTGCTATATTTAGGGGACAGTAGCAAATGAGAAACCACCACCACATCCTACATGGGAAAGCATCAAGTGGGTCAAACACACAGCCTCAAGTGCATGCCCAGGAAGGCATTTGTTTTTTGCAGGCACGATGCATTTGGTCCATTTAAGGCTGCTCATCCAACCCAAACAGTGAGGATGCCAGTGGGCATCATCCCAGGCATGACTGTACACCAACAAGATTCAGGAGTAAGGCAGAGTTGGAAGCAGCTGCCATTTGGCCAGGCACGCAAACGAAGGTACAGGAGAACAGCAGAGGAATCCTCTCTGACCAATCCACAGGGTACAGGGGAGGGCGTGAGCATTGTGGAGGCGAGCCACATTCACATTCTATACTGCTGACCCGGGACGTTGTTTTAATCTGTTTATAGCATATGTGATTCTCAGGCACACTTCAAGAAGCACAGACACCAGGCTTGTGTTTTAGTTATAACAACTCTCTAGAGTAGGCCGCCAAACAAACAATACAACAAAACTGTAGTAGAATATTATTTAATGTGTGTTACTTTTGTTTATGTTGCATTTGTTTAACTCTGTGAAGCTGTGTTACTGTGCCTGTCCAAAACAGCTGATGATCTAATGAGAATATATAGAGGGAGAAATCTGGGGAGAAAGAAGAGATGGAGGAGCGAAGGATCTAGGAGCCAGAAGCCAGAGAAGGAGGAGGACTCCAGGGGCCAGCCACCCACCTACACAGCAAGCCACAGAGTAAGAAACAAAGAAAGGTCTACAGGAATAGAAAAGGAAGAGCCCAGAGGGAGAAGATAGACAGGATAAGTTAAGAAAAGCTGGCTAGAAACTAAGCCAAGCTAAGGCCAGGCATTTATAATTAAGAATAAGCCTCAGCATGTGATTTATTTGGGAGCTGGGTGGCGGGCCCCCCAAAAGAGCCAAAAAACAACCAACAACACAAAACCTTGAAATAGGCAGAGTTGGGGAGAGGAAAAAGAAAAGAACATTAGAAAATAGAAGTGTGAACCTATTTGAAGCTCGAAAACCATGAAATTAAGCTATTTTGAAGGGCAAGATGGAGAGATGGGCTTGGCTCAAAGGGGTAGGACATTTATGAAGTATTTTTTTTTACTCATTAATCAAAGTGCTTTTCTAAATTATAAGGAGGGTAATGATGGCTCAAAGTCTGTATTTCACGAGTTACATGTGGGGCAGTGGAGCCAAATGTCAGCTAGGAAGGGTTAAGAAACTACTGGACTTCCAAGATGGGGAGGCCCCAAGTATGACAGTCTCTCAAAATGTTTGGCAGAAGTAAATGAAGGGAGTGTCCAGAAAGCAGGGCTGAGGTGAGGTTTATTGTTTGAGATAAATAATTGTTCTATAAAATAGATAATCCACGAATTCAAAGAAAAAAATTATATGTTTCCTATATAATCAAATTAACCTCCTGACCCAAGTGCCCATTCCACCTATTGTTAGGATGCTTGATCTCACTCACTTCAGAGTCAATTCCATGAATTCAGGTTCATCTGAGATAATTCCTTCTTCCCTAAAAGGTTACATGCAAGTTTGGGGGGTAAGCACTGGGTATCATGGGGGTGTATTGAAAGATATTATGTACCATCTGTCCTCAAGAAGACATGACTCCTGCCTCCCTCCCCCCCTCCCCCACCGCCCACTTCCAGACAGGGTCTCTCTGTGTAGCTTTGATGCCTGTCCTGGATCTCGCTCTGTAGACCAGGCTAGCCTCGAACTCACAGAGATCCAACTGGCTCTGCCTCCCGAGTAATGGAATTAAAGGTGGGCGCCACCACCACCAAATGACTCCTGTCTACAGTAGTGTCTATCACACAGCCCTAGGCTGCATTCAGTCAAAGATAGCTATGAATGTGGCCAAACACAAAATTGTAAACTGACTTAAATGTGAGATTGTATGTGTGTGTGTGTGTGTGTGTGTGTGTGTGTGTATGTGTTGTGTGTGGCATTTTTAATCTTGATTTTATAGTTCTCAAGCATGAACTTTGTAGATAATAACGTCATGTCACAGTGTCAAAATGTTGGACACACCCAGTACACCATGGAGATCCAGTCGTGGATGGACGCATTACCAGTCCATGCATGTGACAACCACTGCTCCCTGCCCTGTCACCCACCTCCAAAGTCCTCACAAGTCTGACCCTTGCTCTTTGGCTTTTCCATTGCCCTTGAGGCAAAACCCATGGCTATTCACCCATGCCATTCTGAGCAAACAGGAAAAGCTATGGAGGGTCAAGGCTCTTCTCATTGACCAGACAACTATTTCTTTTTAAAAAAACTGTTTTTATTATGCTCCTTTATTGGTGTGGGGACATGCCATAGTGTGCACGTAGAGGTCAGAGGACAATTTGTGTCTGTGGGGGGGGGAGTCATTTTTCTCCTTTAACCATGTTGGTCCCAGGGAACGAACACTGATTGCCAAGCTGGGTTACAGAGCCATTACCTGCCAAGTCATTTCTCTGGCCTGTAACAACTGTTTCTTTTTCATTTGTCACGTGGTGAAAGGACCTCTGCATAGTGGGCCAACAAATGAAATGTGTAATGTGACATGCGGTGAGTCTCAGTTTTCACAGCCTGCCTGGAAGTTTTCCACTTCCCCTGGTTCGTGGGAATAGCTCTCTCCATTCGAACCTGTCAGCTGCATGCAGCCACGGAACAGGAGCTTGCTTGAACAGTAAGAACCTTGCATCTCACAGAATGAGGAATGCAAAGGTAGTGGTCCCATAGCTGATTTAGCAACGTCAGCGAGGACTCAGCGTCTCACTATCTTCCTACTCTGCCAGCTTCGGTCATCAGTTCTGTCTTCGTGGTCACAGTGAGGCTACACATGCTAACATTCTAAAAGCAGACAGCTTAAGGGTTTTCTCCTCATCTCTCTTTCCTTTTTCTCTTTTCTTTTCTTTTCTTTTCTCCTCTTCTCTTCTCTCTCTCTCTCTCTCTCTCTCTCTCTCTCTCTCTCTCTCTCTCTCTTTCTTTCTTTCTTTCTTAAGACAAGGTCTTGATGTATAGCCCTGGCTGCCCTGGAACTCACTATATAGACCAGGCTGGCCTCAAACTCAGAGATCCTCCTGCCTCTGCTTTCCAAGTACTGGGATTAAAGGCATGCACCATCATGCCTGGTTCAGCCTCTTTCTATCAGGAGTCAAAATCATTTCAGCTGTGACAGAGGCTGGAAAGATAAGTGTCTGTTATTTTCAGCTTCTGTTGCATTCAGTGGAGTCTGCCATACGGAGAGAAACAGCAAGGAGGAAGCAGGTAGGGGATGCCATTGTCCTCTCATGCCCGCAATGGGACCTCAGCTCACTGATCTCCTGTATGATGAAGGCCATCCCTCCGGGGATCAGGAAGTCCCTCTTCTAAGGGGCTGGAAACAGACCCTTCAACATCCTGCGTTCTTGCAAATCTGTGACTTGCATTTGCCCTCAGCTTTTGAAATTAAAATCAACACTTGGGCTCTTTGTCTCTTTACAAAACTTATGACTAGGGACTGGAGAGATGGCTCCACAGCCAAGAGCAATTGTTGCTCTTCTGGAGGACCTGAGTTCAGGTCCCAGAATCTACATGGTGACTCACAACCATCTGTTCCAGAGGATCTGATACCTTCTGATGCACATATAAATGTGCAGGGGAAAAGTCATATTCAGATAAAATTAAATCAATATCTAAAAAATATTAAAAAAGAAAACAAGATTACAAATGCCAAAGTCTAGCTAGAGGTGGTGACCTACCTGGTAAATGAAATCACACAAGAATGAAAACCATAGTCGATGCTGAGCTTGGATTGTAGAGTGCTCACAAAGGGAGGAGGGGGTGGCTGGAGGGGGAAGATCCAAATTCAAGAAAACTAGGAGTGGGTGTTAGATGAAGAGGGCTGGTATGACAAGCATTGGAGAACTTCCACCCTAGAGAGAGAGGAGAGAGGGAGAGACAGACAAAGAAAGAGGAGAGAGGAGAGAAACAGAGAGACAGGGACAGAGAGACAGAAACAGAGAGACAGAGAAAGAGAGAGCAGAGAGACAGACAGAGATGAGGAGAGAGGAGAGAAACAGAGACAGAGAGAGAGAGAGGGGGGAGAAACAGAGAGAGGGAGGGAGGGAGGGAAGGAGGGAGAGGAGAAACAGAAAGAGAGAGCAGAGAGAGACAGAGACAAAGAATATGGCCAGGGAACAAAGTAAAGAGGAATATAATTAAAGGGCGGGGCAAGACCTAGCCCCCAAGGACACTCTCTATGACCTACTTCCTACAATGAGGCCCCAACACCCCAATTCTCACAGCCTCCAAATGTCATCATTTATGAATCCACGAAGTGATTAATGCACTCATTAAGTTGGAGCCCTTGTGCCATAATCATGTCTTGAAATGCTCTTTCCGATATATCCAGAACTGCACCCACACACCCACAGCAGTCCCCTCAAGCATTTCTTCATCCAATCAGCTTGAAAAGATGAACCTTGAGGAAAACTGAGCACACAGAGAAGACCAAGAACTCAAGCGAGTGAAAGGATTTTAACCTGTTTATGTTGGGAAGAAGAGACAGAAGGATAACTAGGGAAAAAATTTCTAGCCAGTCGTGAGGACTTTCCTAGAACTAGAGCCAAGGAGCAGAGGAGGCAAGGCAGCTGTTTGGGAGTAACAGAAGCACATGGCTAGTGAGTCTCAGAGGCCCCGGAATAGCCAGCCCAGAGCTTAGGGAGTCAGGAGCAGGAGAAGGGCCACAGTGGAAATGAGTAGGGGCAGAGAGAAAACTGAGGAGGCCACAACCTGAA